CCTCAGGTACTATACCAGAGGAAAGACTGCTATTGATAATCTGAAGTACACTTGGTTCAATAGTGGAAAATACCTCCTTAAACAAACGAGGTGGGATGGAGTCTGCAGGAGAACCAGAGGGCCTCATATGATCAACTGTGTCCTGTAGAAAAGAGAAGGACACCGGCTCAAACTGATCCAAAACAGATGAGTGGTGTAGAGGAACAGAAGGATCATAGGAAGGCTGAGAAATACAAGCTCTGGTTGACACAATTTTATCAGTGAAGAAGTGGAGGAAACTTTCACAGATTTCAGTGGAGGCATCAAAACCACCAGACTTGGGAGCATGGAGAACAATATCTATGGTTTTGAACAAAACTCTGGGGTTGTTACAGTTAGAAGAAATTATGCCTGAGAGATATTTGTTCTTCTCGGCTTTTACAGTTTTCTGATAATGTAACAGACTCTCTTTGAGAATATTAAAAGAAACATGTAGTCTGTCCTTTTTCCACCTGCGCTCTGCTTTTCTGCACTGGCGCCTGGCAGCGCGCGTGACGTCACCCAGCCAGGGTTCGGGGGTAGGTTTGGTGCGCCGGTTCTTCAAAGGAGCGATCGTGTCCAGTGGTTGTAAACAGAGAGTGGAAGCTGGAAACCAGTTCATCAATATTTAAACAAAGAGAGTCTTTAGAGTTATCCTCGCAGAGACCAAGAAAAGTGGAGGAGAACAAGGTTGGAGAGGAGGAGTTAAACATGCGACAGCGCTGAGGAGGAGCACACACTTTAACTGGACAGTGAGTGGGAATGTCAAATAGGATGGGCATATGATCTGAAAAAACAGCATCACATATGTCCAAGTTGGAAACATCCAGACCATGAGACAGGACCAAGTCAAGTGTGTGCCCGAGTTCATGAGTAGGACCAGACACAGACTGTACAAAGTTAAAAGAGTCAATAACATTTAAAAAGCTCCTGGAGATCGGCTCTTCTGGGCAGCAGACGCGAATATTAAAATCTCCAAGAATGAGAAAATAATCATATTTGGGCAGGATGTCAGCCAGAAATTCTGAAAAGTCATTTATAAAATCCTTATTGTGCTTGGGTGACCGATAGATGACGACACCCAAGATAACATGAGCGGGGCCGATTTCAAATGAGCAGTGTTCAAAACTTGTAAAAGAAGACTGCAGGCTGATCTGCCGGCATTTAAAATCATTTTAAAAACAACTGCTATTCCTCCTCCTTTCTGACCCGACAGGCGCGGGGAATTAAAATAGCAGCAGTCAGGTGGTGACAGTTCAATAAGAGCGGTGGGCTCGCCGGTTCTCAGCCATGTCTCCGTTACGCAGAGAAAATCCAGATCACGGGACATGAAGAAATCCCTCAAGATGAAAGTTTTATTTGACAGTGATCTTGCATTAACAAGGCCAAACCTGGCAGGGGCCGGTGCATCCCAAGCTGCAGCTGTCTGTGGAGCCCGACGCAGGGCTCGTAGATGGCGGGGATTTACACCACGCCGGCGAGGACGGGGAGAGCAGGGGCCGCGGGGGCCGCAGGGGCCGCGGGGGCGGACCATGTCATCCGAACTGACAGCACACACCAGCCAGCTGTCAGCAGGGTCCAGAGACCGCGGGCTCAGAAAGAGACCAGGTACCAGTCCATTTCTCCTCCGGGAGACCACAGGAAATCGTGCCAAGAAAGCTTTAATCTTTAACAGTCGTCCGCTGCGTTTGCCCCGGCGGCGCCGGCGTTTACGCCGAGGGAGAGGAGCGTGGGTGTGGCAGAGGTGAGCAGGTGTCCGACTGGTGAAGGAAAACTGCTGAAACGTCGTGTGAACACCACAATCAGTGTCGAATTTCACTAAATCCTTGGCAGAGAGACAAAGATCCAACAATGTTTGGCGATCATACACAAGCAGAGAACTGGCACTGATGATAAAAAACAAAAAGAGCACGAACACAAACAGCGAGAGACGGCAAGCCACACACACTAGCGCCACCTTCCAATGAATGAATGAATGAATGAATCTGACTTGTACAGGCTGTCTCTCTTCAAGCTCCTCCTGCACCACCGAGTCAGTGCTCTCTCTCAGAACTGGTCGACCTCTGGTGGGAGGACAGCTTCAGTGCTGGTTCGCTCAGCAACCGGTGTCGAGCTGTTAGACTAAGCAGTCCCGTTTGGTATCAAATCCAAAATCCAGCTTTAAATTTTGTTGTTATTGGGCTTTCAGGCCAAAGGAAAGTCCTTACTGAGAGCAGTCCCATGCAGCGCATGTGCATTAGGTGAATGTACAAAATTCACAGAGCCAACTAATGACCTGGCATGGTAACTACAGCAGACTGGGGTGGTTTGATGTAAACATCGAATATGGTCCGTGTCAATGTGGACCTTTTCCTCAAATCAACTTAAAAAAAAACCTGTTTCCCCCACCGTGTCTGTGTAAATGGGACCTCAGTCTTATAAATAGCCCCTTCTCATAGTGGATTAACCAGTTTGTTGATGACATCCAGAACTAGCTGTTCACATGATGGAGGACCATCGATCTAACAATTGGTCGTTATTGTCCTGATGGCCGCTTGCTATTCACAGAGAGTTGAGTGATACTAGCAATAACAGCATTAGCTTCTCTCCATTGGCTCCTTGTCAAGTCCAGAACTGAATTCAAAATCTTACTTCTAACCTACAAAGCTCTCAACAACCTAGCTCCATCTTTTATTACAGATCTTATTGTTCCATATTTTACTAACAGAGCACTTCACTCTCAAACTGCAGGTTTACTTGTGGTTCCTAGAGCTCCAGCAGCAGAATGGGAGGAAGATCTTCCAGTTCTCAGGCTCCTCTCTTGTGGAACCAACTTCCAGTTTCTGTCCATGAGGCTGACACATTATCCAGTTTGAAGACTTTCCTTTTTGATAAATCCTATAGTTAGTGTTTGCTTGTTATGCTGCTATAGACTTAGACTACTAGAGGACAAACTGACCTCATTTCCTTAAATGAATTGTTAAAATTGAATAGTTTTCATTTTTATACTATTTCTATCAACGTGATTCTTGACCTGCCATTGTGTATCTATTCCTACCAAACCCAGCCGGTCGAAGCAGATGGTCCTCTTGTCCTGATCCTGGTTCTGCTAAAGGTTTCTTCCTCATTACGGAGTTTTTCTTTCCACTGTCGCCTTCATGCTTGTTCAAGATGAGAGTTCAGTGATGGAGTTAAACTCAAAGCTGCTCCTCAGATAAATAATGTTCAATTATTATTTTATACATGAATGTTTCTGTTAACTTATTATTTTATACATGAATGTTTCTGTTCAATTATTATTTTATAGATGAATGTTTCTGTTAAATTATTATTTTATACATGAATGTTTCTGTTCAATTATTATTTTATACATGAATGTTTCTGTTAAATTATTATTTTATAGATGAATGTTTCTGTTCAATTATTATTTTATACATGAATGTTTCTGTTCAATTATTATTTTATACATGAATGTTTCTGTTAAATTATTATTTTATAGATGAATGTTTCTGTTCAGTCCCTGAGACGATTCTGTTGTGACTTGGAGCTGAAGAAATAAACTGAATTGAAATGAGCATTGTAAGAGGGGGACAGTTGGGCATGGAGGCCTCCACCGCTGTGTAATGATGGATGGTTTCTCTTCACAAAGATGTCACGTCAGAGATCAGCTGTGAGGTCAGAGATCAGCTGTGAGGTCAGAGTTCAGCTGTGAGGTCAGAGATCAGCTGTGAGGTCAGAGATCAGCTGTGAGGTCAGAGTTCAGCTGTGAGGTCAGAGATCAGCTGTGAGGTCAGAGATCAGCTTCAGCTGTGAGGTCAGAGATCA